ACCTGGGAAAGTTTCCCAACCCGTCGCGAGAGAAGCTCGTGAGCTCCCCGGACTGGAGAGGAGCGTCCTAGCTCGTTGGCCTGTTGCATTGCGGTGAGTCTAACTGTGGCGCCGTGACCGGAGATGTTGTGTGTTTGCGGGTCCCTTGCTGTGAACAAGTGCGCCTGACATCGGAGGGGACGACAAGGCATCCTGGAGGGGCCGAGCCGGACGCGCGCGAGGGGGGGCAAGGGGGCGCCCGGCCACAGGCGGCGGATCTCTCACACGGGGTGGCAGCCCTATTTTTTCACCCTGGCTCCCCTGGCTTCAACATTCGCAGCCAGCGCGTTCCCGACGACCCAGGCACCCCTGCGGTGCTTGTTTCCCCTGCCCAGGTGTCCATTGGCGCCGGATCGAAGGTGGTTCAGTCGCCTTGCACAAGATGGGGCCAATGGTTCGGTAACGTCGGAAGGAGAACCGGTGGTGCGCTGCGGCCAAGGGAGGCTGTTCGCCTCGGGTGGGCGGTGGTCATGGGGCTTGGCGGCCGCCGTTTGGGCTTCTGACGTGTCTGCGGCCCCCACCTCTGCGTTTCCCTGCGGGTCAAGGGCTCGGTGACCGGCCCACTACTCTAGGAGGGCACGCGTGCTGTGGCCGTGGAAAACGGTGTGAAGAATATGAATGTGCGAAATACTGAGTCTCTCGTGGCAGGGGTGTGCCCTGGATGATGCTACTGAGTGGGGAATTTAACGTCCGCTGGGACGCATGGCGAGCCCATATCTGCTAAGGATCAAACCGTGATCAGCATCAGGAGCGTCGTCTTGTGTTCGGCGTTTCAATGTCCCAACTGGTGAGCGACGGTGCCCCATCAGAATCGCACAATTTTCAATTGTTGGACTTTGTTTAGTATTTCGTTATTGGACCTCATCACCGGTCATTTGGTGAAGTGCGATTAGTCAAGCTGGCAGAAGAGTCGGAACGTGTTCCCCCCGCCTCAACAACCCAGTCAGACAATACCAGGGCGAGCTCGGTCCCCAAAGAGTGGCGACACGCAATGCAGTAGAAAAAAAAAGGAGCGAATAGCACTTTTGTGAACACCCATAAAACACATTTCATCAAAATTCTCCACGTTAAGTACACAAGAATAACACAAACCCGTAAAATTTGTACACATTTTGACAAGTGTTATTCGGCCCTTCTTTCCGAGTGATGAAAGGCTGCAACAAAAGAACAAAGCTCTCTCTTTTGCTACAGATAAATTGACAATTGCATCAGTGCCAGGCCAATGGCTTCCCTGGATGCGGCAGACTCTGTGGTCCATGCATGTAGCCATTAGGGCTGCGTGCACACATGCCAACAGATCGCGTGACCGTGTGGGATGGAGCGCTCACACGTTCTCAGCACTCTCAATGATGCCGCGCCGGCGCGAGTATATCTGCAAGGTCAGGCCGTGGGAGTCTGCCTGGCAGGGCAGCTGTCAATCAGTCCGGTCGTCCATGTGATGTACAGGGGAACGATGTCGACCATGCATAAATGGTCCTTGGGCCTCGGGCGGTGGGTACAATCTGCGTGAATCTCGGTGGATGCCTGAAGAGGGCAATGCAGACTCGACACTCATCAATTGTGGACATTTGCGTGCCACCCCCCAAGCGTAATGTAAAATTTCGAAGCCAGCCAAGGCCTTACGGTTGGTGAGAGTGGATGTACTGTGTGGAGAGCGTGGCAATGCAATGGGAATCAAGGTCCATGCGACGAGATTGAGAGGCGTGCCAAACCGTGTTTTTGGTATTTCCGCCAAGTTACCGAGTATTCCGTTTCCCTTAATACATTTAGCGCCCGAGTATGGTGCGTCCAGCACGAAGCTTTGCTGGTTGCACTCAAATGTTCTTGACCCCAAAAAGGCAGTCCTCCACACCAAAGGTAGAAACTCCAAATTGCTGGTGCTCGCCTTGCACGCGGCTTGGGAGATCCCGGGTGTTTTGATTTGGTACTCCAAAAGAGTTTGAAATGAATTTGAAACATCCGTTATTGAGAAGCCTGTCTTGAGCAGCCAGAAAAAAGTGCATTCTGCTCATTGTGGAATTGGGAATCGAACGGAACCACAGATTCATGTCATGGGCGAGAGGAGTCTGTACACAAAATTGTGCAAGGCATGCACTTGAGGATTCAGGCAATGTATCAAACCTGATGACGCAAAATCATGGATATTTTCGGTTTAGCGAGGCAACTCTTTGAATTGATCAGTGACGTTTTCATGTGTGCGTACGAGCGCACTTGACATTGCACAGGCGAGTGCAACACGTTGGCAAAGAGAACAAGAGCTAGAGACTCTGCAGCACATTGTCGTGTGGCTGCGATCTCATGAGCGCTTCAATTTCGCAAGTACTGGCAAGAGCGCCATTTCGAGGTGTCTCAGAAATGGCAAATTCTTTAAGTACACTGAGATCTGAGAATGAAAACTACAGGGAACCAGCTTTCCTTCCTGGTCATCTTCGTTACATCGGTAACTTCTATTCGCATTGCCTGGGGTAGAGGCCCAAACCCAGGCGCTAAGCGGTTACATAGTTGTCGCGATTTCGGCGTGAGAATAATAATGGCCGAAACCGATGCTGAACAGCGGCAGACGAGAGAGCACGTCTCCGGGAGACACCTCTCCGGCTTTGAATATTCAATGAGGCTACACAAACGTCTCAATTCCCAGGCTGTCGAGCTGCCCCGATTGCCTGCCATCGCATTAGGCATTTCGATTGTCAGCTGTCCATAATCGCTGCAACGCTGGCTGTTTCCTTCCTATAGGACTCCTCGATTTTCCCGCTGTTGGGTAATGTGGCAGAGTCAGATTGACATTGACATAAGGATTGACCGCCGGTGGGGTTTAGGACTGCGATCGTAGCTTCGCTTCGAAGCAGAGCGTATCAAAATTGACGTATTCGGGCCCTCCTAAGGGCCAGGCTGTGTAGATTTTTGGTATACGCTATTTTGTGAGGGTGGACATCCCGGGAGCTCCCAGCAAAATGCTCACCTCACTACCTTCCCACAAGTGTACGAGCGCTGCAAAACCTGGCATCCATGCGACCTGTCCTGGCGTGGCCGTGGCCCACATTCCCTCGCCCAGCAGGGCAAGGCGCATTGGCGGTTGTGTGGAGCGCACGACAGCGGCGTGCATTGAACAGAGGACAATGCTTCCATAAACTGCGAATCCAGTAATCTTCACCAGCTTCTTCGGCCGGGGCCAACGTAGGGGAAAAGTTTCGTATCCTATATCCAAGGATGGCCATGTTGTCCGAGACATGGGTGCCCATATCCTTGGATATGGCGATTTCCTTCCCCACATCTCTGCCATACCCAAGATACGGAGGCCTCATATTCTGGACACGGAGAGTTCATATCCAGGATATGTACATCCAGCATATGGTGCCCATATCCAATTCGATATCCAGGATATTGCATGTTGCTGACGAATATATTCTGGTTGGTGTACTTTCCGCATGCAACCATGCATGGCTTGCATGAGACCGTCAGTGCGGTGGCAACTTGGCAGCAATGTCTTATGTCGTTGCCATAAGTATTGGATCTTCGAGACGAGGCTTGGTTTTACGTTTGTCTTCACATTTTTACGCGTAAAAATGTAAAATTGGCGAAAGAGGTTATGTTTGGCTATTTTCACATTTTTCACGTCTCGTTGGGGCACCCAGGCTATACACTGAAAACCGCATACAACGATCAGTCCTGTGCCATTTCAGCACCCGCAATACAGTTTCAACAAATGCAACAACGTTCCAAGGTATGTTAGAAGATGATATAGAACGCCATGACTCATGCCTGGTCAACAACCTCCTTCCACACAATTTTCATTGCATCCACGGTTGGGCCTGAAGTGGTGCCTTGCACCAGGGGCCACGGCTTGGTGGCGGCTGGCGGTCAGCACCAAACTGGTGCCACCCATGATCAGCTCTGTGCGCACAAGGCTGCGCCATCGTGGTGAACAGGCTCCCGGCCTTGGCGAACTTCTTGCCATCGTGTTTCTTCTTACGCACTGCGTGGTCGTGTGCAAATTCCTCTCGGATCTCCCGTGGCACTTCGCCAGTGAATGTTGCCAGAGGCGACGATGCCAGCGAGGTCGCATCGTCGCGCCTCACCGCCCTTCACGACTTGCTTCAGTATGCACAGGTGGCTTGCAGGCCTTTCACGTCCCTGAAATGCTTGGCGGACGGCCCATACACTCCCTTGCGCCCCTTGACGAGCGCAGGGGACAGTCGGCCACGGTTCGACCATGCAGCACTGGCATAATGTAGATGGACAATTTTTACTTTGTATTTACGTATTTTTGGCGCATTTTCACGTGTAAAAACGCAAATACGTTTTGTGTTTACTGCTTGAAAAACAAGCCTATTCGAGATGGGCCAAAATGGTCATTAATCGGCGAAACACGACTTTGATATTTCCGTATTGGCGCCGGTGACTTGTAGCTGCTTTTTGTACATTAGGAAAAACAACCATAAAAATTGTGGAGATGGAGGGATTCGAACCCACAATGTCCTCCTGGGGCAACCAGGATGCCTGCCTGAAGCCCTTCCTGATGGATTTCATCCGTTGCTACATCTCCATTTCCTTTTGGCCCGACACAGTGTACAAATTTTTATAAACGCAAACGCAATTCGCGAAACAAGGCAGCGCACCCACTGGACTGCTTACTGCCGTTGGAGCTGCCACTTCTCAAGTACCAAATGGAGCGCTTCTGGTAGTTGGCATACAATCTTGCCAAGTTTCAAGGAAACGGGGTCATGCACTACTGTCTGGATTCCCTTTTGCATGATCGCCTTTTCTGCCAATTGTCTTGATGATTCATCTCTGAATGGTCGCTTTTCTTTTTCAAATGTAGCGAATAGGCGCAGCGCTAGCCTGCATTTGGTGTGTACAAGTGCATAAGTGCGCATGCAGCAACACGAGGATGCCGATGATCCAATTTGAAAGGGAAGATATGGGATACAATTCTGCTACGTTGCAAGAGTAACAGCAGCTGGTCAAACATACACACATTTTGGAATGACTTGAACGTGTGCGGCAAGGAACGACAGCAATGTTGAAGCTTCTGGGCGCATTTGGTACAAATGCGGACTTGGCAACTCTGGTCCAACATCTTGGCGTTGGTCTTTCAGCACAGCACCTCCCGCAGGATTTGCACTGAATTTGGTCGGAAGTTCAGCACAACAATAGGCGTCATTGTGCAGATGATTACAGCGATGGCTGTTCAGCAGCACGTTGCACTGCACCACGACGCACGGCACTCGCGCGTGCGGAAGCAGGGCAACAGGTGGCAGGAAAGCCAAAACCCACGGCACCTCCATGGTGGTTTTGCAGAGCCGCCATGCGTTTGCCACCTTCAGGACACCATCCGCATGCAAGGGACATTGTCCCTGCCGGCCTTCTTTTCCTACCATTTAAGGGATCATCCAGCGGCAATGCTGCTGCTCCGTGGCCGCCTCGTCTCAGCAACCATGCACCTTTCCTGCTTGCTTCCAGAACCTGCACCCCGGAACCTCACCCGTGGTCCCTAAATCCACAACTGGAGTGCTGCTTGTTCCAGCCCAGGCAGAGTCACTCATCTGCTCTCCAGACAGAAACGTTTTGAATCTTGAATATTCGAATCATGGAGTGCTTGCTGCTATCCGTCAACGACCCGAAGTAACGATACCTTGTGCATGCACCGTATGATACCTTGTATGATACCTTGCACGCAACGATTCCTTGTACGCAACGATTCTTTGTACGCAACGATTCCTTGCGCGAATGCAATGTATAAATGAGCTCCCAATCTTGTAACCGGCGAATGCTGTCAATGCGAATGTCGCCAGAGCAATCGCAAGTTGCTGTACTTGCGCCCCTGGCACCTGAATAGCAAACAAGAGCGTCATCGGGTTATTGCATTGCGATGATTATTATTATTATTAAGTTACAAGAAGCTGCTACATCAACTCGTACACCTAGCAGATATGGGTGAGGCAGTAAATAATCGGGACGTTGTGGTGCGCCGATGAGGGTACCTTTGGGTTTCTTCGCGTTGATTTCCGTATGGCAAAATGTTGCTTTTGCAGTCAGGTTGGCCTTCCTCTACAATCTCCACGAGGAATACTTGAGAAAATTACAGAAACAAATTTCCTGGTAAGCATCGTCTATGGGAAAGGCATGGAAAATGGAGCGCAGTGTCGCGACAGTCATGTCACACCTTTTGGCGCACGCTCTCCTCAATCCAACCATGGAGATGTTCAATGGATGTGCAGCTAATTGTGCTCTCATTTGCAGCAGACGAATAACTGGCGAGTGAAACAACGCCAATGACACCGCCAGCCTTGTTGTTGCCTCTTTTATTGGCGCCCACGCTTAGAATGGGGCCACCTGCACCCCAAGGACCACATTGCTCTGCCTCAGACTCCAATTAGATATTGAATACCAAATGCAGAAAATTCCTGGCCTGCCGATATATGGATAGAAAAAAATCCCTTGCTCCATATTCCAGCTGGCTTGAAAATGTCTGCACTGAACGTTGCATTTGGTGCTCGCTCGTGCATAGTAGGTAAGGGGTGGGTGCAACGAGGCTGCATTCAATCTCCGAATGTACTGCACATTATTGACGAGGAAACGCAGACCCAGTAAACTCAAATCGGACGGAATACAGCCGTGGAAAATCTTGTTATCCTGTTGACATAGCGTCAGCAAAGCCACGAACCCAAGCAGCGCTTGGAACCTAGGTCTACGCCTGATTGACTGGCATGTCGAACTGGTTTTTGTGCATTTCATGCTCCAACCATCAGCTCTGGCCTCTAGAAGTACAAGCCAAAGCTGTGCAATACCCAGATAACAGGCTTATGCGCAGCCACCTGCATTGTAAGCATAAAAAGTGGCTTCCGAACTTATCAAGACAGGCAGCTTTCCTCAGCTATCTGTCTGTCCAGAGCTGCATTAATACAGTGTTGCCCATTGCTCAGGACGGCATGGCCCCATTCTTCCGTTCAACCACAGGGCTAGCAGAGCTTCTCTCATTGCAATGCCCAGCATTGTCAGTGTGGGGCTTGCTACCTGTCTCTTCAGCACATCTATTCTTGGCCAATGGCCGATTGATGGCAGGTCTGCTAGCATCGAAACACATATCCATCCAAAAGTATAAAAATATCGTTGTATATTCTGCTTTTGCACAGATAGAGACAGCATGAAGTGCAGGAGGCAGGATTTTGGCTCTCCAAGGAACAGCTGTATGTATATACGTAGGGTTGAATGAGACGAGCTGTATTGAGACACATGTTCACCATGCCAATTTACCCTGAACACCGACAAGTGGTTCTGCAGAATTGCAAATCCATCCAAACTCACCTGCTTCCAGGATTGTCAGATTCGAGCAAACACAAAATTGATTGCCTCCAAATTCTGAATAATTTGGGCAGTGGTCATTGTCAATGACCTTGAACTGCGCCACTTCTGGCCGGCCATGGATCCTGAAACCAAGCACATGTGCACCAGATAATGAGCTATTGGGTGCCTGCAATGGCATTGGGACCGCAAGGGCACGCATGCTCTGGGGAAGTTGAAGCAACGCAACATCATACCCATCAGGTTGACCTGTCCATTGCGGGTGCACAAAAGTGCTCTTCACAGGAAACTCCTGTGGATGGCAGCTGCACACAGGGCGTCATGCACGAGAACAAATTCGGCCTCTCCCCAGAGCACCCCAGAACATTGCTACAAGCTGACTGTCATCTGCACATGCACAAGATTGGAGATATTGCTTGTACGCATAAGGACTGATCGGTTCAATGCGTAGATTTACAAATGAATGAAAACACACTCTGCTGGACACACAAAACGTCAACACCAACTGTTGACCGCACGCATGCTGAACACACTGCAACAATACTCCCGAGCATGTGAGATCATCTCACCTGCACCCTGAAGCCAAGCTCATCATACTGTCCAGCCCTAATGTCCACAGCAACAGTACCATTGGGCCCCATTGCCACTGTGCAGTGTGCTGCGGTCAGCACGTGGTGCTTCTCGATGACCAAGCCCATGCATACAAGCCCTCTGCTCTCATCCAGCAGGTGCACCAGCTGTGGTAGATGGACACTGTGCACAGGTGCCCAGCCGTTCTGGTTACAACAAAAAGTTTAGTCAGCTGAGTGAGCCAATCAGGTACGTTTCCATTTTCAAAGTCTTGCCTGCACACGTACAAATAGGAAGACAGGGATCCAAGCTCAATCAACACTGTTTGATATGATGATGCCAAAGAGTTTCTGTTTCCAAATTCTCATCATTTTTTGTTGAAATTCCATATTCAGTTTGCTTATTTTTCTGTTCCTTTGTTACTTATATTGTGAATGCATATGGAAAACACAAGTGACAAACTCGCGCAGAAACATATTTCCTACTGTGCATGCTCTACAAGCTACCCAAGACCCGTTCACTGGTCGTCCTTTTACAATCAAATTGTTCTTGCTAGCCTCGGTGGCTCTGACATGCAAAAGACTCCAAGGAAGTCAACAACTGCACCATATGCTGTCACACGCTTACATGAATAGAACAAAGCATGCTGAAACAACCAAGAGGCAATTCTCAAGAGTATACAGAGTGAATGCTGAGCACCAGCACCTTGCCATCTCTCACTGCGTTGATCCAATCCATGACATGGGAAACACGGGTGTACGCTCCTCCAGTGGCCTCGTTGCAGCAATGGGGCCCATGGGAGACAATCCCATGAATCACGTCTTTGTGCGGACCGCCTTTCTCGAGTGTGGCACGCGGGGCGTGAACTTGTACAAGGGGACCACCAGAGTCTCCTACGCAACAATTCCACGCATTGTGTAAATAATTCCAACCATGCCCAGATCGACAAGAGTGCTGGAAACAAAAAGCACAGCACCAAATCGTTGCATCTGAAGAACAGCACACATACTCACCAGTAGCTCAGGTTTCATTACATCCCAAGGAGTGCACTGCACAAAGTAATAGTCAGAGTGCTTTCACTCGCATATACACACTCATGAAAACAACAACAGCATTAGCACCAGAACTGCGGTCAAGCACAAATTGGTGCATGCTTAACGTCTCGCACACAGATTGGCCACAATTTTGGCAAAGGCACCGTTGCCCTGCAGAAGCACAGAAAAGTACCCGCCTTGTCCTTGGCAGTGGGCCTGACTGTGGCAATGCAGTCTGTATCACAATATGTCTTCACCAATACTGCATTCTGTACACACTAGTCATTGTGGAATGGGTTAACCATCAATTAAAACTTGATGCACAGAAAATCAATCAGACCTGCAGCCCAAGAGTCACAACGCTCTCTTTATCAGATATTCATTTTGCTGATGTCTTAAATAGCAATTGTTACACTACACATCGGGCCCATGTTATCACAGCTTGCAGACTTGCTTCTTTGATGCCCTACCTTCACAAGCATCTTCCCACTGAGAATATGCACACATCATGCTGTCTGCCAAGTATGGGATGCCTGGGCAATCCAAGTTGTCCATGACTTCAAGCATTGTGGCCATTCGAAGCTCTGTCACTTCCTTCTCACAGATGTAGCCCCAGCCCAGTGCTGCCACTGGCGCCCCTTGGGGAAGGACGTCTGAGCTACTGGCCAGGGTTGGAAATGTAACATGCACTTCCCTTGGCAACCTGAGCAGGGCTGCATCAAAGCCATGTGCAAAGACTCCAGTCCAGCCAGGATGGATGAAAGCAGATTCAGAAGTAAGGACCTGCAACCCAGCAAACCACCAGTTCAGCAGGCAAACATCAGCCCCACTATGATTGTGCATTCCCAAGATGTCTGCCATGACCCAACAAAAACAGCCTGTGGTTGGAATGGCAAACAAGGCAATGGGCAGCTACATGCGAACTGACACACATGTGTCCCTGGTACACTGTTCTGGGTCAGGTGACAATATCAATACAACAATTTACCTTGATCCACCGAACAATCCGTGAAGAAATCCAAGAAAAGCAAGATCTTGGAAGATCATGTCAGATTACATTCACCATAATACAAAAACACGGAGGAAACTGAGCAGAGGGCACACAGGACACAGGACACACAGAACACTGTATGAAGGGGAGCAGTAGTGAATGTGTAATCCTTCAAGACACCAATGCGCAGGCATGATGGTGAGTTGTCAGAGGCAATGCAGCCAGTGACATGAACAGCTGCTTTGCTGTTTGCTGATCCACAGCCACATTTCAAAAGCATGTTAACATCAGATTACTGCACAGCATCTCATTGCATATGGTTGGGCCTCGCATGGTTGCTCAACTGTGGCTGCAATACCCTTGTACAAACTTTGCTGCACAGCAATGCTGTACAGGTGTGCTGCATGCAAGCACAATCTGCCCCAAGAACAGTATTGCACTCTTACAAGACAGACAGATACTGTGCTTGGCTGCATTCTGTAAACAATTCAGGTGAGCAAATGCTTGCAACAGACATAGAAAAAGAAATGCATTGGGAGAAGAACATTGCAGTGGGACTCTGCAGCTGGGAGGATTTCAAATGCTCACAACACAACTTCTCTGTACTGACTGAGATGCACATCTATATAACACTGGTGCCATTGGGTTGCAACCACTGCCACTTACCTGGACTTTTGAGTCATCAGCATCGCTGATGGTGTGGGCACCAATGACCATGATCACATGTTGTCCAAGCTTAGTTAAGCAGTGTGCCGCTGTGAGGGCATGCCATGGATCGATGACAACCCCCCCACACATGTGCCTGCCATAGCTATCCCTCAGGGAGACCATCCATGGGAATCGGCCCTTTGGGGCGGTGTCTTGAGTCTGAGGAGATCACCAACACAATCAGATCACTGTGGCACACAAAACATTGATGAGGCACTGTGTAGTCAACAGATGCCTTATGGAAATGACAAATGAACCTGCAAGAAATTCTGAGCATCAACATCTTCAGCTCCAGTCTACCATGCAAGCTTTAGGGCTGTTGCGCACATCCTGCCAACTGCCCGCTTGGGTTCAGAGATGCGATGTTGCAGGAACTCCAGAGATTGGAACTGGAAAACAGCAAGCCTGCCCACCCTTATTCTTCCCTCTGTTGCAGTTCGTCCTGAACAGCCACCACATTGCACAATGTGTCAAGCAATGGCAGCACTCCAGTTGCTTCACAACAGTACTCCAGAGTTGGATTCGTTGACAAGTAACAGAAAACTTGTACCAAGAACATCCAGTGCCATTTGCATCCATCATGTGGTGGATTTTTGCTGCCACTGATCACAAAGTTCTTCCCACCGACCTTTGGCAAATATGTTTTTACTTTATAGTCTTTTGTCTCTTCAAACATCTCAGCTCCTGGAAATCGTGTGCCAGCAATGCATCATGTGCCAAAATAGGAAAGAAAACGTGCGTGCTCACTGTATTCATGGGACTCTCATTAACAAGTTTACACAAAAGAACGAACGAGAACAACACTAATATTGTAGGGGCCTTGCACCAACCTTCAGCTCCATGCCTGGACAGCAGGTACACAAGAGCTACACAGAATGGTATCCCGGTTGCATGCATGCCTGAGGCGAAAAAAGCCCTCAAAAAAGAAGTAAGCCACAACGCACATGAGAGCAAACGTGAGGGCCAAAAGAGTCCTGGTTGAGCCCTACTCACCCCTGTGGGCCAGCACTTGGAAAAGAAAATAGCGAGTATCAATCCAGAATTGATTCATCATGCCCTAAGCTTCTGTATGGACAGGGCCGCCAAACTCAGTGTATGTGCGGGCACGTGTTCCCAGAGAGCTCAGAAGCGACAGGCATCCCACATACTCATGTGCTCACTCTGCATCATGCCCACTCAGTTCGTGGGCAACACTGGGCCCATTCAGTTGATGAGACTGTACTTTGTGGGCCTGTTCTGCACTGCTGGTGCGGCATGGGGACTTGACACTTTCTGCCATTCTCATTCCTTGTCGAAAGCACACAACAACAGCAGCAAAACCCCATCCAAGTCTCCACCGCTCCCCATCGTGGGTCAGCACAGCGCAGCGCTGGCTGATCCCTCAATGCCACCGCCCACCGGCCGAGAACGCAGTCAGCCCCAGAAGCACGGGGCATTGGCACGACGCGCTGGCGTCAATCGTCGTCCCGAGCTATCGAACCAACGACAAGGTGCTCCCGTATGGAGAACGGCCATGTCGCCAGTCGCCTATAATTCTCTCGATTCATCCGACGCAAGTCTGCCCCCGAAACCCCACGCCCCAGCACCACGCACCCCCCCTCTGCCTCGAGCTGGAGCAAAGTATGCAACCAATGAACCTGCGGCGAACTTCGCCCTCCTCCATGGACCTCTGCGCGAGTTGAGCCCGCGGCGGCACCTATGCGCCAATCTGCGGAACTCAAAGCAACATCGCTGAATTTCTCTTGGCTGCCGGCTCCCGTGAACCTTGATGTGGGCACGGGCCCGTCATGCAGGCAACAAGAGAGCAGGATGGCGCACCTTGCTCACCCAGCCACCCAGGACCTGGTGGCTGCTGGCAGCACCCCTGTCGACTCCCTTACGCGTAGGGGGGGGGGAGAAAGGGCAGGAGGCAAGTTGTGTTTCCGTGCGCCGTGTTCGTCGCTTGTTTCTTTCTCCGCAACGACGCGGTTCGGGCCTATAGCATTGAAGGAAGCTCAGGTGGACCAGGTGGAGAGTGGACCGGATGGTGGACCGGACCAACGTTTGGTCGATTTCTCTTCGAGGGAATTACTTGGCTGGGATGGGAAAGCGGGAAGCGGATTGGAAATTGGGAATTGGATCGATGTGCGGCAAACACGGGTACCAGGCAAGAAGGTTCCTTTGCCTCGTATTTCGAGGCGGCCAACACGGCGGTCAGCGCGATCAAGATATACATGCAGGGTCCACGGGCGGCAACGCGCTTGCACGTGCCCTTCCGTTGCTAAGCCGCAGACAAACACGTCGACAACTGCGCACAGGAAAGGTCCAGTTCACACCGAATTGCCTCCACGTACTGTCGAAGGCACCATGGAAGTTCATAAAGACATCTCCAAAGACAAGCCTTGCTGTTTCCATGTACTGACCCACTTCGCACATACCTGCAACTACCTGTCGAGTCTATCGAGTGTTGTGTTCTGCTACAGATAGATGGCGCAGGGATGGGAGCTCACATCCGCTGATCACGAATTCCTTTGAGGAGTCCAATTCACTGTTTGCTAACGGCGGTTGCCACTCGCCGTGGTGACAGTAAAGCACTTGCTCCCAAGTTGGCCTCTCTTTTCCAGGGGCAGTGTTGGGTAGTGCTCCATTTTACCGACGTTTTATCCAGCATGACTGCAAGGATGACAGCAAGAGGTTCCACAGCTCCTTTCTTTACTTGCTGCACTGCAACCACAGCCCAGAATTCTGTCTGTTTGAATCAGGAATTCCAACATGACGAAAAAGTGAGAAATTTCCCCGAGTGATTTAGCTAATTCTTGTGTTGCAGTTGACAAGCGCCATTCCAAAACGCTCGGAACTCGAGATTTTTGCCCCAGCGACATTTCTAGGGGCCATGTTGTGCTGCGGGAATGGTTGACCGAACACGGCAATGGAATAGAAGAACCCTCCAACCAAAGATGCAACCACTGCAGTTCACAACAATTTCCATATACATTACTCGAGTGCTGCTCCAAGATTTTCAAGGCACTCTAGAGCCTTTGCTTTCTCCCTCTCCACAAAACCCGGCCTGTAGTACTCATATGCAGGAATGGCGATGCCCACAACAACAAAAAACAAATGCAGCCCGTAGTTGATCAGCACATTGCCTATCATGCCAATTGCAAAGCACTCTTCTGGTGTGCCATTCGTATCCGAGCTGAAAAGAATGGCTGAAAAGAAAAGCACATACCGGATGTAGCCCTTCCCCCAAGCTACCGCCATCCACAGCAAACGCAAATCCCTGCCCTGATAGAACAGGTTGTCAGTATCAGCCAGTCTTTTGCTGTACCTTTCCCCCACCCTCCTGTTATATCTCCTCTCAAGAACAGCAGCAAAAATTTCGACCATCCAGGAAACAAAGATTGCAACTGCCTGCCAGATGTAGGCATCGTCTCTGAAGCCTTTTGGCCCCAGGCTGGTCAGTTCTGATGTCTCACACTTGAGCTTGTCTCCATCCCTCATGACTACTGTTGCGCAGCACAGGCCCGTTGCCAACACAGCCTCATCTGAAAATGCCACAGCAGCCGAGCGGGTCCAACACCATCGGTTCGCGGCTGGCGATGCAGCCACCACATAGCCGTTTCCCCTTACCCTCTGCAGCCTGAGCTTCCTGTTCAAGTTTAGGAAGGCCCTAAGGGACAAACCCCTGTACACAGGGATCATGAGGATGCTGGAGAATGCAAGCAGTCGCTCGGTCTGGTCAGTGTCTTCTGACAGGACCATGATGGAAAGCAACACGCCAGTGATGTACATGAGCTTTTCATCATCTGCAAGTGTGGTCCAGCTCAGCCCTGGGTCTGTTCCAAGGATTAAGAACTCCCGTTTGTGTGGGTGGCTTGTCATTGTTGTGATTTTCGTGTACACATACCAGCCGTTCCCCATGTGCTTGAACATTATCACAATGAACGACATGACAAGAAACACCGTATTAAGGAGTTGCCCCTCCTCCAAGAGGCTGAGAATCCGTACACTCTCAGGGGCGTCAACATCTGCCTGCCCACAAGCCTGCTGCACCTTCAACAATATGACACCAACTGCTGCAAACATCCAGCTGCATGCTTTCCATTTATGCCCTGTTCCAGAGAGCCAAGGCTTCAGGCGTTGGGTCCACATCTCTTTGCTGTGGCAACCCTCTTTGCTGTCATGGGATCACGCTCAAGGCACTTGCCCTGAACCAATTGTGCAGCCCATAAAGGAGGTCGACGGCAGGATGCCTGTGTTGACTGTTACCCGCTGGATGCAGGAACCAGGTTTCCCAAGTGCCTTGGACCTCACCTTGCTGAAATCAATGGGCTTGCAAAGGGCTGTACATTCCCAAGCCACACAGTTGCTGAGGAGAAGGGCATGGAATGCACCAGATGCAGATGTAGTGGTGATTGGATACAGAGGTTCTCCAACAGACTATAACATACTTTCGATGGTTCTGCAAGAAATGGATTTGCCATTGAGGTGGTCCAACGCACTGCTGCAAAAACGCATGTTTTTCACAGCTGTTGTCAAAGATGTTCTGAAATCTGAGAGTTGAATGGCTAACAACGAAACAAAACTCTTGCAAAGCTATCTGAAAGAGTCACCTCTCAGTCGTGTGGCATGCAAAACAGGAATTGCTACTTGGATTCTGCTTCTGCTGCATGACCATTTGGGTTTTCTCAGTCTCTGCACTGTGGCATGTGCCATTTTGCACCCTTTTGTACACAGGGATACAATACACGTAAAGTGGGTGCAATACTTTGCAGCGGATGATCCTTAATAAACAGTGATCCGTGGTGAGATGCTAGGCAGCAAATAGACCCAGCTGTTCACACTACATGTGCCAGTGGCCACAATGCCAATGTACAGCACTCTAATCCCGTTTAAGGGCATCTAGAGGACTCCTGCTCAGTTTGGGGGACTGCCCACAGCACGGCAGGCCTTCCTGCAAGGACGATCTTTGGCGGAGCCACAGGCTCCACCACCCGCGCGTCGGCTGCAGCGAGCGACAGACCCATTGACCGGGCGGGAGTCAGGCGTTTGGTGCCCCAATGAAGCGCAGCCGTCAGATCGCGCCGAGGGGGGGATCTGGCGCAAAGGTCCAGGGTGGACGCCTCACCTGACCAGAGGGACAGCTTTGGATCCCGTGGCGGCGCTCCGAAAGGGTCTCCCCGCCGCCTGCGCGGTCGATGGTCACCCGACCCGTGGGCCGCGTTGTTGGGCGACACTGCAGAATGAACTGGACATCACCCAATGCACGAGAACGAATTTGTCCCATTTTTGGTTCATTCACAGTCACAAAATCGATTTGGAATCCGTTTTCATCCGTTCTGACAGATATCGACATGTTTGCCAAAATGTTAGCTACCCGTCGTTCACAGACATCTGGGTACGATGTCAGGACTGCCAGATTGGCCGTCAACGACTTCAAAAATTGGTATCGACAAGCAGAAGTTTTCGTTCGTCGTTCTGTGGCCCAGCGAGAGCTGAAAGCATGAAGTCTTCTTGGACACTCGAAAACAAGGTGGGTGTTTTCGAAAGAGTGTCACTATACTGTTTGCAGCGCCTTGACCAGGCCACAATGGAATCCAAGGCTGGGGAAGATGAAATCAGCTGAACAGACGGCAACAAGTGCACTTGCTAAGTGGGGAAGCGCCTCTCGGAATGGCAGTAGAGCATGAAGCTGCGGACAAGGTAAGGGGCTGTGACCTGCGGCATAAGAATTGACCTGGAATCTCTATCGAAATTTCAAGTGATCCGTTCTAAATACTCTGGATCCGGTTCCGGAAATCGAATGCACTGGCAGATCTGGCAGCAAATTCAAATGATCAACTCACTATATCCAGGAATTGTGCCCAAAATAGTCCACCTAAACTACTGCACAGTGAAAAAGTATTAAACAGGATTGAATTGCAAATAGCATTACACTGAAAAATGTTTAGCAATTCAAGCCAGAATTTAAGAAGCCAACCTGCCTGGGGCGAGAGTAACAAGCACAATGGAGTACAACGGTGCCGTGCAAGATCAACATAGGACGTCAACTGGCCCGAAGTTTGGCGGGTCCGCCCTTCGAACGGTACAGATGGATGCAACGATCTCCGAGGGGCCCGGGCCCCCTGCAACTTCTAGTCCTTGCAGTAGACGGGACAGGAAACCAATGATGCAGTAAGCCCTTCGAGGTCCTTTGGACCAGCCAAGTGGCCACCATCCTCTACCACCGTTGCAGCGGAAGGAGCAATCAGCCGGGCCCAAGGGATGAACATGCAGGGCATGTGCTTCAAAACCCGCATAAAGACGCTCCTGAGCTAATCTATTCAAAGGTCTGCCAGCCCAGGAAGCAGGCGTGGCGATCCCCAGCGTCGATGTTCCAAACACGCTGACCAACAACGCAGCCAAAACGCGCAGCTTCCCACCGCGAAGGCGGCGCCGCCGACGCTGTCCACTATTGGCCTTGACCGGAGCCATGGACTTGACATGACTGCAGCCCGCCGCCGGATCTCAATCTTGAGTTTGGGGGACAGGCAGCAGCATTCCGCCTTCATGGACGAGCCGCCACCCGTCAGGACTGCCAAACCCACCATTCCCTTGCTTGGCCAGCGTAGATTTCCGCATGAAATTTCACCATCGCGGATGGTATCCTGATCTCTCGGGCCTGATCGGGCGGCCAACCCTCCAGGAGTCGGAAAGACCCGGTTCATGACACGGCTCGGCCTCGGGTCAACAGCCCATCCCAATCTATTCGCCCACCGATCACTATCTACAAATCTCAGTGGCTATTCTTTTATTGGTGTGTGCCCTCGAAAGACAAGGGCGGGCCCTTTGCAGTTTCAACGCTGGAGATCGCCAGGTCCATCGGGCGCTGGTGCACGAGGAGAAGAGCACGGCCGTTTGAGGCGCCTACAAATCTGGCCTGAAGGCCATCTGGCAACGCACCACAAGTTCAGATACCGCAAAACAGCCACCGATCTGCGGATCTGTAGAGATCTGTCGTTGAGAGGTCGGGGAATGGTAGCTTTGTCCGTCGGCGCTGAAACGGAAGAGCAGAAGCTGAAGGTTCAGAAGTGCCTTGCACCCCTCGCAGGTCGTCTTGGAGCGGGCGGGAAACAGACAGTACAAGGAAAAGGAACAAGGGTATAAAAAAGAGTTACGACACCGGGACTTCCCGAGAGATCCCTCATCTCAGTACTAATCCGGCCCAATGGTGCTTAACTTTCGAGTTCTGATGGGGTCGAGTGTGTTCACCATGGTGTGGTCGTAACTGGTAGATCGAAGTAGCGCTTTAGATTATAAAGCTTTAACGCCGCGTGGGAGTCCCCACAGTGGTAGTTGAGTACACGGACTCGAGCTGAAATAGAAGACACACAACGACAAGCCCTGGGGGGCACGCATGACAAGTTCAAAGAGCATTCACCCCCCGTGCCTACACATACGATGGCTCCAAGCTCACGCTCAATTGAACATGCATCAAGGATATACTTTTAGAAAGCTTCCAAGCTCAACAAACCAATCACCTGATTTGCCTCAATTTCGCAGTATGGAATTTTATATAATTATCGTAGTTTGGCACAATATGATAACCTTTGGGGAGCTAGCCATAGTGGCCAGCACCCCAACCAGTCGTCACAAGTTGTTTTATAATCCCAAAGGAGGCATGCATAGAATGTTTTCCTCAATCACTTAACAAGGACGTCGGGAAAAGCTGCATATCTTGGATACACATATCCAAAACATGACCATGCTATTTTATCCTTGCACAAGTCCTCGTCTTATACCAAGCTACGGTGCCCATATCCTATTCGATGCTTGGGACTAGATTTTACCAACAAAGTGGCCAAAACTATGGTTCCTTGCCATGGTTTCCAATGCTTCTTTTCGTTTGGCACCATAAAGCATAAACTTCAATTGTTGTTGTGCAAGTGAGATGTCTTGTTTACTTAAATTCTCCAAGTTAGTGTCAGTCATTTCAACTCTCATTAGTTTTGAGCATGCTTTTGTTGGCCACGGTGGGATTTACAACGGTTCCCCTAGGGGATAGTGAAGAAATGAGAGAGGCCTCTCTCATTTCCTTTGTTGCGGCCGCCCTCAAGGCCTCTTTGAACAAGTGCTAGATATGCCGTTGTGGCATATCCACCCCATCACCACACCGAAAGCCTCCAATGTGGGCCTTCCTCTAACACTGACATGCTGCTTGCCAATGTACAAATGTACCAAACGGTGGAAGAAATGGGAACACATTGGAACAGCGCATTGCGCTGCAAGACCGGGGGCCACTTAGTCCACGGACCGGGGGCCACAGTCCACGGACATGCGTCATCCCTTGCCCGGTGACTGTGCAGGCGAGTGCGACCGGCGCCGGCCCGCACCGCGCGAGCACAACCCCGACTGCCGAAGCCTTCTGAAGCCGGGGGTAAACTTAGGCTGTACTGGAACCCTGTGGCCACCAGGGCCGACAGAAACCCCCCTGCACAACGTACGGCACTCTCCGTCCAAGGACGTCAAACCGGCGGGGCCGGGCACCAGCACAGGCCGGAGCTCTGCCCTACCAGGCCCACTTCAATCCCCCCTTCTTTGCCCCTCCGCTGCATCAAGAGCCGAAAGAGTCGGCACGACGGCTTCGGGCGCGGGCTGCGTGCCGGCGCGCGGGCATGACACGACCCCTGGGCATGGCCTTCCACGGCGCCCTCCTGGCCCTCCTGGCGCTCATCCCCGCCAAGATCGCCTCCGGCGCCATCGCCTGTCGCGAGGTGCCCTCAGATGCCAGGCCGCTGGTTATGCTCGAGCGGCCGTTCGAGTTCGGCCCCCGCGGGGGCATCTCCTTCGAGCTCACGGGCCTGGCGCTCCGTCTTTCGGGCGCGCCAAATTCATCGGACTCCACATTCCTCACAGAGGCGGCCACTCTGGCCCGCATGGGCGTGGTGGCGGTACCAGAGCGCCGAGAGGCGTTCTCTTGCCCCTTCTACGCGTCCCGCCCCCCGGGATGCCCGCTGGCCTCCGCGGGGGTGTCGGTGCTGTTCCGGTTCGACGTCCCTGAGATCGCGCGCCAGGTGTCGGGGCGAGATCCAGGAGTGGGGTTCCGGACGACGGTGTCGGCGCCGAGCGGCGAGCACGCGCTGTACTTCGCCAACTGCGCGGCGGGCACGGAGGCGTCGTTCCGGGTGACCGTCTCGGAGTTCAACGGGCGGGAGGGCGGCGGGGTCCGGTACCTTTCCGCGGGAGATGCGGGCTTCCCGGAGCTGTTCATGGTGAGCCGCATGTGGCCAGGGCGATGCCATTCTTGACCAAGTCGTCGCCGTTTATGTGGTGGCCCGCGGGATGGGCGCATGTTTGGCAGGGTGGCACGGCAGGTCGTCAGGGAACTCGAGCGGAGGCTGGGGGGCCGCATGGGGCGCTCTCGAGATGGGTGTTGGCGGACGACAGCCGGCGCGTCACCGGTACAGCGCGTGTCGACCGGCGTCTCTCGGCGTGTCAGTTTGGGCCCGGCCCCTGTCGCCTGCGTCGGCATTGGCGTCGGCGTCGGACTAGCAGAGGCCCGAGTTGCATGCTTTTTCAGATCGATCAAGATTATGACGCGGGCACTAATGGAATTGGCGTCAGCAGTTTGCTCGTATATCGCCGTGCCTCTCTTCCGCGCTGTGCCGATTCGTTGGAGCCGGGCGCATTCTAATGTTGTCGTCTTCTGCGTTTCAGTCTTGGCTGGTCGACACCACGCATCGCCGATATCGTCTCGGCGCATCAACGCGAGCGTCAATCAGGCGCATGAGAAGCAAAAGGCAAAGAAGGCCAAAAGGGCGCCATTGACAGACATCAAAGAAAGCGTCCAAGCGCGATCGTGCCCGTTTAACGAAAGACATTGTTGCAGCGCATTCAAGACGACCTGCGGCGGCAGCGCCGTAGTCCTCGCTGACATCGTAGTACCGCTATGTACGAATGCGCCTCAATCCGCCCACAAATTGCCCAAGAAATAACACCTTCAGCCGGAATCCTGCAAAGTTATTGAAATCCCCAGAATACCCAGCGCCGCACAAAGCTAACTGCAAAAAAATGGCAACACGTGACCATTTTTCAGGTTGCACAGTTGCATTGCACACCGTCACTTTGAAGCATTGCAATTTCAATAGAATAATTTGGCTAATGACGCTGCACAGCTTTGTGCTTGTAAGAGTGCTTGGAAGTATCAACTAATAAATTAGGAAGCACACTTCGAACAATATTTGGAAGTAATAACAATGTAGAGTGTTGTGGGGTTGTGTTCTGACTTGGCCCCGCCCATGACTACAGTTCTTGTCGCTGGCCTTCTCTTTCCTCGCCGCGTGGCGGACCACCCTCTGGCGCCGCGACCACCAGGGAACGCGCCCGCTCCAGGCCTCCGTCATCCTCCTCGCCGCGTCCAAGGCGCTGCACTGCGGGGCGCAGGCCGGGTATCTGCGGTCCGTGGACGCCGCCGGGACACCCGGCCCGTGGGCGCTTCCCCTCTACGCCTCCGATCTCTGCAACCGGCTGCTTTACGTCACCGTCCTCGCCCTGTATACTACAGCTGCGCCCCGCCCAGGGCGCGCTCTCCTGTGGCTCATCTCCTCCGCCGCAGCTTGCTTTCACATTTTCACTGTGGCAATGCTGATCGCATCGAAGGAAATTTCGCCCGTGCGCCACTGGTGTGACGCAGTTACATTCGCTCTCTGCGACCTGGACCTGTTGAGCTACGGTTTGGCCGCCTACCCCCTTGCCCTGGCTACCGTGGGGACTGGCAAAGGCGCCGCGAAGGACAGGCGGTGGGTAGAGACCACAACGGTTCTCTGCTCGCTTTACTCCACGGTGTCCGCCTACACGGCGGTGACTTTCATCGCGCTGCCCTACACCCTGGCCAATCTGAAGTGGCTGGAGGGTCTTGGGGCGCCCCCGGCGGTCGGCCCCGTCATCCGAGCTCTGAGGGCGGTGTCCACGGTGGCCATCCACGTTTACATTGCGTATGTCGCCCGCTGGAAATTTGAGACAACGTCAGGCTCGTGGCCGGACTGCGGTGCCGCCCAGCCGCTGCTGCGACGCCTTGCGAAGGAGAAGGGCCCGAGAGCACATGGTTAGTTGCGCCGTGGTTGCTTCGAATCACGTTTGTGTTGTGTTCACCATCAGAGTTTACGTGGAATCCAGTGCATTTTTAAAGGGGAGGGGAGTTGTGGTGTAGCGGAATTGAGCATTGTGCACCGGAGCAACGCTGCCCTGTTTTATGTGCCATTATTCGCATTCATGAAGACCACCAGTCCCAGCATAATTTTCCTGGATCCACAGCATCTGGAGGTGTGAAATGAAAACGCATAAAATCATCAGTAGTCGCTTTTCAGGGAGGCCAATTTGTCGACACGAAATTGAAGGCGTTGTTGCTGTGATATTCATTGTTACATGGTCTACTGCAATTATTTAGATTGAATGATAATCAATTTGTTGTGATTGTGCAATTGGGTGGGTAGGGGCAATTTTCAGCAGCGGAATGTTTTGCTTTTTATCGAGCCTTTGGGGAAGCACGAAAATGCGATACGACAATGACAAATGTGTAGATGGCGAAAATGGGACGAAATTTAGACGCGGTGCGAGTGCCATGGACAGCAACTACAAATTATGGCGACAGCGGATTGAGATTTCAAGCTGGCAGTTGGATTAAGGGGTAAATGGGGCTCATGGGGATCTGAATGCACACATGGGAAAGAAGAAGGAGTGGGACAGGGGCAGGGACACTGAAACACATGAGGAAAGCGGCGCTGCAAATAAATCTGAAAAACAGAATGTGACGCTTTCCTGAAATCTAAGATTAGCACGTCTGTTTCTCTTAAATTCTTATTCTGTCAGTAACGCGCTTCTCTGCTTCGTTCACCACTTTACATTAGGCCCCATGATGCTTGCGCCGGACAAATATCCCAAACACGGGAGACACTCCGAGCTGAGGCCGCCCATTTCTGTGCCTGCAACAGAGGCGAAATCCGCGACGTAATTCGATGACGTTCGGGAGGGAGTTGTGCCAACATTGCCAGCCCGAAGGTTAGGCGAGATAGGAAATGAGAAACAAGAAACAAGCTAGAAATCCTGACAGGAAGCAGGCGGAAGTAAATGGGTAACTTGATCGTTTGTTCGCCATGAGGGCCTGGAATTAATTCGCATCAGGCAAGATCGAAGGACTGTTTCGCCATGAGGAGAGTGCTTGATATATGAATAGAACACGAATTCCATGCATGAAGTAATTCTTGGGACTTCAGCTGCGGCTTCTTCTTCAGAAAGGAGTCAGCACCCTAAAGTACTCAATAAGGAAAGTGACACTCAGTTCTCAAAGTGCAATTGTGTCTGTAACCCTGCGTCATGTAGAATCTACATTGTAGATTAGAGCCATTCTCCAGGCTTTGTAGAATTTCCTGGATGGAAGTCCTGGAAAAGTTGCTTCCAGGATTAGGCGCCATCGACATATGTCTCTGTGCATAGCCCGATGGCCCAGTATCCGCCTGACTGTGGCCGAGCTGCGAGCATCGCTTTGATCTGAATTTGGAAAAATTGCGAGGGAAAGCATCGCTGCAGGCAAGATAGCAGTGGACAGTTTTCTGATTCAAGCCTTGAACGGATGAATTTGCCCATTCTTGCCCAAATGCACTGAGCTGAGCTCCTGAAGTGATTTTCATCCATCCTGTTGGCTGGGTAGCTTCACCGATATTACAAAAGGAGACGACAACAAGGGCCGAAACATGCATTATGATCGCTGTATGTTGTCACATCCACTATTGTTGATGGGAGCAGACTGCGACACAGAGCCCACGAGCAGGGACTGCAGGGGTTACATGCAACGCTGAAGATTAGCAGCGGAAATCGTTGCTGCCTGCATCTAATCTGTAAAACGCCATGTGCCAGGGCCAGATACGGTACCAGATGCGTTTATCCACTCCCGACCACGCCATCCACGCAAACCAACTGCCGGTCTTACCTTTGACAAAATAGCTGAAGGTTCGCTTTCCGATGCCCCCGCCAGCTGCACATGATTTCCAATGTGCGATAGCGCGAACACGCTTCCCTTAACAATATGGTTACTATTAATATCCATCAATATGTGAATATGTCATACTAGTATCCATCCCAGTTCGCGCCCCCCAGTCGCCGTGTCCCTCCCTGGTGCACCTTTTTAGTCGTTCCATGTGCCGATTGTCGATTCGGGAGCCGACGGGCTGGCAATTGTAGGGCACCGATCTCTAGAGGCTGCCGATCACCCTCGAGCACCCATCGCCAATTTTTACAGTCTGCACCACAACATGTTGCCCTTCGAACCGTCCGCGTAAGGTACCTCATTTGCGTCCCTGTCCCATGGAACTGCGCCCAGCGTCGTCAAGTCACCAGACTCTGTGTTGGAAATGGGCGCAACTGCGGCCACACTGTTGCTTTTTGGCGGAAAGCATGGGGGGCATGGGGTCTTGTTCGACCAGCTCCCACAGCTGTTCCTGGTTGATTCTGCTTTTTTTCGTTCTTATGCAATTCTGTAGTTTCCTATTGTCTGCGACTCCCCTTAGCGCCCACTGGATGTCAAATGCACTCAAATACAAGTAGCGTTTCATCAGGTGGGGTTTTACTTGTAATGAAGCAAACAGCGCTGCCGTGCAGGCGTCGTGGCAGCCGTCTCAGGAAGTGCAAGTTGCTGCCAATGTGTTGGGCGCTCGTACCTTTTTGCATGCAAGGCAGGGCGACTTTCAGTGTTCCAAGCGACGCCCATTCGCAGCACATTGAAAAGTGCGAGATTGGTAGGAGGTAAAGCTTAGAAATGTATCGCTAACTCACCTTGAATAAAACAGTGACAGTAACGACTGTCAGTTGTAACCGTGGCTATCTTGTTGTACCCAGCAGTGATTATGGCACGCTTGTGAGATGTTCAGTGGCAGTTGCACCGAGAGCTTGTTGCGTGCATGGCAGTGGCCACAGCCTCTTCTTCTCCAGGCCAGTTGTACCTCATGGGCTGGTGCTCGAGTATGCACATGCACAGGCTGGCAACGCCCAGGGTAGGGCCTTCCTCCCCTTTCCACCAGTCGAACTGCATGATGGCGACCCAGCTCAAAATATGTGTTAGTTCCTGGACACGATAGTTTTAGCTATGGCGTGTTCGTTGTGCAGCCATCTGGCAGCTAAATTTTGTGGATTGTGAAAGCACATTGATTTTTGTAGTTCGACAAAGTATTAACAAATTGTTTCCATGGTGAGGTGGGTTGCTATAGCCTTCGGATCCCAGCACGAGGATGCACTGGGATGGCGCTGGGATGGCGCTGGGATGGCGCTGGGATGGCGCTGGAATGGCGCTGGAATGGCGCTGGAATGGCGCTGGAATGGCGCTGGAATGGCGCTGGAATGGCGCTGGGATGGCGCTAGGATGGGACTGAGATGGCACTGGGATGGAACTGGGATGGGACTGAGATGGTACTGAGATGGCACTGCGGTGGCACTGGGATGGGAATGGGATGGCACTGGGATGGCACTGGGGTGGCACTGCGATGGCGCTGCGATGGCACTGCGATGGCGCTGTGATGCCACTGGGATGGCACTGGGATGGCATTGGGATGGCATTGGGATGCCACTGGGATGGGACTGAGATGGCACTGGGATGGCACTGCAATGGCGCTGCGACGGCAATGCGATGGCGCTGCGATGGCGCTGCGATGCCACTGGGATGGCACTGGGATGGCATTGGGATGGCATTGGGATGGCATTGGGATGCCACTGGGATGGGACTGAGATGGCACTGGGATGGCATTGGGATGGCATTGGGATGCCACTGGAATGGGACTGAGATGGCACTGGGCACTGGGATGGCATTGGGATGGGATTGGGATGGTACTGGGATGGCACTGCAATGGCGCTGCGACGGCAATGCGATGGCACTGCGATGGCACTGCGATGGCACTGCGATGGCACTGCGATGGCTCTGCGATGGCACTGCGATGGCACTGCGATGGCACTGCGATGGCACTGCGATGGCACTGCGATGGCACTGCGATGGCACTGCGATGGCACTGCGATGGCACTGCGATGGCACTGGGATGACGTGTGGATTGCGCAAGGACGTCCAAGGGAAGGAAACCGCTGTTGGCGAGGGCTTGCATGCTTTAAAATCATCTTTATTGGTGTGTGTTTTGTCCTGGCGGTGCTATTCAGTTATCTGAATAACACTGCACGTCACAAAACCATCATTAACGGCTGGCGAGCAGTGGCAATGCAATAACACCGCTGATGCTATTTGGCACCGAGCAGTGCTACTCTGGGTTCGAATAGCACCACCCGAGGCCAAATAGAATCCAGTGCTATTCGTGCAGAACATTGCAGTGCTGCCGTGATGCTATTCAGCATACTATGCCTATTAGAAATAACATCCACCATTGCGGATGCGCGCAGGGGAGCAATAGCACCGGTGCTATTCGGCAACTGCTGCCACAGTAAGGTGGCACGGCAGCAAATGAGAACCGTTCCTGGAAAGCTCTGCCTGTGCATTAGCACCGACCGACAAAGATGCTGTCAGGGACAGGGCCTGGTGATTGTTGCCATGTGAGCGAGCACCCCTGGGCGCTAACTGCCAACGCGCTGACAAGGGAGCCAGACCAAGCAGGCTTGGTTTTCACGCCGTAAAAACTGATCGTATTTATGTTTTTACGTGTAAAAATAGTTTTTACACATAAAAATACGTAAACACAACGTAAAAACTGCCTATTGTACATAAGGATAGTACATACAGATTTACAGAGTCCGGAGAGTGGCAGCCAGACGCCTTGGAAGAGGCAGAAGACGAGTTTTTGTTAAACGCCATTATCGGCCTTGCCAAGGGCGAGGTGGTCATTATGTTGCGGGTGCTGGAGATGGCGGAGGACCGACCATTGTGCGCAACTTTTGTCGTGTAACCTAGGCATGCCAGGGAGCCGTAAAAACGTAAAAATAGCCCTAAAACTAGGTTCTTTTGTTAATTTACGTTTTCACCCGTAAAACGTCAAAGTGAAAACGTACACATAAATGTAAAACCCAAGCCTGAGACCAAGTGAGCCTGCAATGTCATCTTGGAACCCAAACTTGGTGCTT